AGGAGGTAGTGCCCACCTGCACAGGTGTTGCCCCCACCTGCACAGGTATTGACCAACTTCCAACCTCAGAGCGGGCCTGTTGAGCCATCTCGCTTTGACCTCAGCCAAGCCTGATTTTCTGCTTTTATGGAGCGTCTAAACTCTGCCCACTACATCAGAGGACACACCCCGAGCACCCTCCCCGGCCGGCACAGGCAGAGGGGCGCTCGCTGCAGACAGGACTCTTTAATGAACTTATTGACAACGGGAACTTATTCCGGCGGCCGCACCAACCAAGGGCGACTTTCTGAGCTGAGACGGGCTTCAGATGCCACCCCTCCCAGTGAGCTCTGTGTGCTGCTGGACTCCTTGAGTTCTGTCACGGTAACAAACATTTCCTCAGGGGCGCTGCAGACACCCAGTCATGGAGCAAGGGCGGGGGCCTGTGGGGCATTTCCCCCAGTGCACTGACGTTACACAGGGCGGGGGGTGGGGAGGGTACGAGGGGTGCTGTGGTTAAAGCTGGCCTCCGCTCTCTCTCCCTTCTTTCTCCTGCCTCTAACCCCCCAGTGGGGTCCTCACTCACACGCTGGCCCAGCCCACTTTGTGCAGGGGGAGGGGAAACATCCTGCCTCAGGAGTTGTGCTTAATCTGGCTTCTGGCGGCGGGAGGGGAGCACAGGGACAGGATGTGACATGTCTGTGTGAGCCTCGCTCATGGGGAGGACGCCTTGTCCCTCTGGGTGGCTCCTTGGGGGTCCTGCGGGTGGGAGGGTGGACAAGGAGGAGCCCTCCTCCTCTGGGGTCAGGCCACACACACACACAGGGCCTCCAGAGACCCGGATGCTGGTTACGTGCGTGCACAGACACCTGGCCCCGAGCTAACTCCTCACACGTGCCCTGGGGACTGTGCATGCGTGTTACCAGCACCCGGGGTCAAGGCCAGTGCTACGGCCAGGTCATCACAGCCCCTGGGGCCTGGGTCTGAGGCTCGACCAGAGTCCAGGCAGGGACAGTCCCAAGCATTCTGGACCGCCTTCCTCCCTCGCCTGCGCGAGGCAGCTCACTAGACTAGGGGGCTGTGGCTGGCTAATAATGGCCCCTCAAAAGATAGGCACATCTTAATCCCTGGGACCCATGAATGGAACCTTACGTGGAGAAAAGGACTTTGCAGATGTGATTATGTTAAGGCTCTTGAGATGAGAAATTACTGTGGATTCTCGGGGTGGGCCGGAAATGCAATGACAAGTGTCCTTACAAGACAGAGGCAGAGGGGGGGCACAGAGAGAAGAGCAGACCATGTGACGAGAGGAAGCGATGGGGGTGATGCAACCACAAGCCGAGGGACACCTGGGGCCACCAGAAGCTGGGAGACTAGGAAGGACCTGCCCCTAGAGCCTCCAGAGGGAGCACGGCCCTGCCCACACCCTGAACTTGGACTTCCGGCCTGCAGACCGTGAGAGAATGTTTCTGTCGTCTCAGCCGCCCAGGGTGCGGTAATGTGTTAGAGCCGCCACAGGATGCTAATTTGGGGTGGGTCATTCTGGCCATCTGTGCACATGGGTGGGCAGCCCCGGCTTCAGCAGAGTGCCAGCACGGTCTCGGGGTCCCCCACGATGTCCCTGTGCACCAGCTTAAAGGTGTCAATGAACAGCTCCATCCAGTCCTGCCGCTCGACCCCTGTGGCAAACTTGGCCCGCTCGGCGGTGTAGACCAGAACGGCCACCAGCCTGGAGTACGCGGCGGGGTCGTGCGTGAACTCCGTGACGTTTAGCAACTGTCGGATCAGGGGGATGGTCCGGGGGAAGGTGGTGTCGGGCCCCTCTTCCGTGCGGAGGAAGGTGACCTGGGGTGCCCCGCTAGGCTGCGGTCCATCTGCAAGGGAGCGTCCAGAGAAGGGTTTAAGGGCACAGGGTGTGTGAGCGGCCACCGGCCGCCCTTCTCGGGCTGAGAGCCCAGGGCACCTCTCGGAGTGATAAGTTGGGACCGAAGTGGAGAATGGTGGCTGGGCTCAGCCAGGACAAGTGAGCTGGATGAGGAGGGGCACACAGACCCCCAGGGATCTGGGCGGGGGTGGGCCAGAGCTAGATGGGGAGCTTGGGGACACGGCAGTGAGGAGGCCAGGAGCAGAAGCGCCGTTGGAAGACACCGTGCACTGGTGGTTCCGACAGAATCATGCCAGCCTGGGGTCAGCTGGAGCCCGCATGCGGCCAGGGTTCTGGGTGTGTGGCCGTTTGGCCTGGAGGGCCAGGCTGTGGCGGCTCCACACACCAAGGACGCCATCTGCAAAAGCAGGCTGGAAAGCTCCTGAGTCACAATGTTTGATTTTTTTCCGAAAACTTCGATTGGCTTTAAAGGAGAAGGAGCTCTGTGAGCTTAGTGGAAGGGAATTTAAGGAGGCAGAGAATGCGCAGAGGGTCTCTAAAGGGGCCTCCCCTTGTCGCTGGGGGAAGGGGAGCCCGTGGAGGCTTCCGAGGAAGCAGCGGGCTGAGTCACAGTGATCCCTCACCTGTCCCCTGCTGCCTGCACCCCTCACTCTCAGCATCAGCCAGCCGCCGCCTCCCCTAGAGCTGGGGGAGACTGCTCGGCCCCGGTCACCATCCTCAGGAGTCTCAGCCCTGCTGGACCTTGGCTGCAGGGGCTGCTTTCTCCCTTTGGAGGATTCCTCGAGGTACGCACCCGGCCTCTCCCCACACAGACTTTGGCTGGGCCCATCAGTGAATCCCACCCCAGCAGGGAGGGCCCAGGTACACTCTGTAGGGCACCTTGGGGCCCAGAGCAGCTCTTTGCAGTGCCCACCGATAGAAAGGCCCCAGGCAGCTGCCACATCCACCCACTCAGGGTTCAACCCTGGGCTTCTAAGTGCAGACCCCAGCCCCTGTGTCCACGGGGGACACAGAGGCAACTGTGCTGGAGGCTGTGTCTGTTTGCTGTTTCCAGTTTTGGGGGCCTAACTGACACTCCGGACACCATGCACTGCATCCCCAGCTAACTCAGCAGAGTGCTGAGACGCCACACAGGGCTCCCACCGTCTTCCAGGTGATCCCTACACCTTGCCACTGCTGCCGATGCCAGAGCCCAGCCAAAGGCACAGCCTGGGAAAGTCCTCTGCCTCCCCAAAGGCACAGCCTGGGAAAGTCCTCTGCCTCCCCAGGTCGAGCACGTTGCTTGTCCTCAGGGCTTCTCAGGGTCTCTAACATGCTCAGGGCACCCAGCATATTCCGCAGGAGGAAGCTGCTTCATGGACAGCCTGGACCAGACAGAACACACGTGTACTGACGAGCCGTGCCTGCAAGGGGCTGACTTCCACCAAGACATACGGTGCAGGTGTGGCCTCACACCCGGAAGCAGACCTGGCCTCAGACCCGGACGAAGCCATGGATGCACCCAGCCTCAGACAGAGACGCAGACGTGAATGCAGACATGGCCTCACA